TAGGCCGTGATAACAATGAGAGACTTGTTCCCCACCCGGAGGCGGAGGGACGCGACCCTCTCATTCACCGGGGAGAACTCCAACACGTGGCGGCCGAGATGGGGGGCAATGAGAATGGCCACCCCAGCTCGCCGCCTTTCCCCGCGGGAAACACCAGAAAAGTGGAGCGTCCAACCCCTCTCAAGGAGTTGGGTTCCAGAGCCCAAGCTGTGTGTGGAGGTGAGGCCGACTATCTCTAGTCGGTATCGCTCAACCTCCCCCATGAGCTCGGGCTCCTCCCCCCCCAGTGAGGTGACGTTCCACGTCCCAAGAGCCAAATGTTGCGTGTGCGGACTGGGTCGCCGAGGTCTCCGCCTTGGACTGCCGCCCAGTCCACCAGGCGCTCGCATACGAGCCCCAACCCCAGGCCTGGCTCCAGGGTGGGGCCCGGGCTGCGCCATGCCGGGCGACGTCACTTGTCTATTTATTGTGCTGTCCATGGTGGTTTTTGGACCGCTCTTCGTCTACCTCGTCACCTGAGACCTGTCTGCCATGGGAGGCCCTACCAGGGGCATGAAGCCCCAGACAGCATAGCTCCCAGGATCATCCGAGTACTCAAACTCCCCCACCACGTTAAGGTGGCAGTCCAGGGGGGGAGCCCCCTGGATAAATGCCCTAAATACTAGGGCATTTATTGGAGTTATTAAGGTATTTTTTTGATTGTCACTATTTTTGTATTGTTATAGAAATGATTATTTTTGTTATAGGCGTCATTACATCAACATATCAATCCATCATCTATTATTGGAAAAGAGATAAATGAATCCTGGTTGAAGTATTGGTGCTGACGGTAGCCAGAGATTACAATTTGAGCATGTTCACAGAACTCACAGAACTCAAAGTACAGGGTAGGCAGGGGGGCTCTGCTGCTGGAGGAACCCTCTGGCAAAGGACCCCCAAATATTGTCTCTTTTAATGCACAGATTAGGACACGTAGCAAAGATCTGCAGGCTGCCTTTCCTGGAGGCTGCTCCCTCTGGAGGCCGATCTGTGGACGCAGAGACTCCCTTCATAAATAACACACCATCTAAATACAAGCTTGCTCCCATCAGCACCAATGATCACATTTAACTCACATATAACACTAGTAATTAGTAATACATATATTAAATAGTAAATATACAATATTCTATAATCCTATTTAATTGATATACATGATAATGAAAATTATAAACATGAAAATTATATGGATATTTGGTGATGATGATGACGTTATGACTAGTGTGACACTTAATGGCATATAAGATATTAAGGTAACAAGAATGTAAACATATTATACATATACTGTATAAATCATCCATCCATCCATCTTCTTCCCCTTAATCCATTTCTGGGTCGGGGGGGTGGCAGTCAGAGCTGCACCCAGTACACATAGCACCAGCCCCTCACTGATCCTCCTGCAGGTGGTGAGTCCACAGGAGCTGAGATCTTTCAGTGGGAGCTTCAGGAAAAGTGGGGTTAAGTGTCTTGCCCAAGGACACAACAACAGCAGTCATCAGTGGGAGTTGTGTAAATCAAGTGCATATTATTTTGACTGTCGCTGTTGCATAACTGCAAATATACCACTGACTAAGCTAAGCTGTAGCAACCACATAATTAAAGTTCAATTACATTAGAATAATAAATACGGGATGGGAGATTAAAAGTCTTCACTTCTTCCCACTCCTTTTCGAGCTGACTTTTTGTTAATAAAACAGCATACTGTATATGTATTGTGTTGGTTTTTTTGTTTTTTATTCTGTTGTTGTTTTGTGGTTGTTCTTTGTTCTTGTCTGTCCACAGCTCTAAGCCTAACCCAGAAGAAGAGGAACAGTACAAAGCACAGAATCTTTACACAAAGAGAACTTCTGGTGTGCAGAAAAAAACTAGAGCGTGCACTCAATGGGTCCCATCTCCAGAAAAAAACTTCAATCCGTCCAGTCATTTTTGCATAATCCTGTCAACCGGCAAACAGACACACGGTGACAATCACACTGCCTCTGTGCAGGGTAATTATGTTGGCAAGGAGAGTGTATATGTTTCAGTGTATTGTATCTCCTGCAGTTATCACATTCATTTACAAACATTCATCAATGTTGGATCTTTTTAGTCAGTCCCCCATCACTGGCTGTAAGGGGCTGATTCTGTATAAGGCAGAAAACACATAAAAGCATCTCAGGTTTAAGGCTTTTAATTAGCCACAAATATCCAAGTATATAAACTGACTCTCTTTATAAGGCTTAGCAGGTTCACTATTCGTATCCATGAGGTAGTAACTTATTGCAGTGATTTGTATAAAATAACATCAGTTAAAGTGAGAAAAACTAAACAATGACAAAATATTTACTGTAAATTATTTTATATACATTCCAACCCTTTAATGCATGCTAGTTCTTTAAACATTATTTTATAGTTTGTGTTCCTAAAAAGAAATAAGATACAAACCTATGCATTGCTATAGTTAAACATTTTACTGTTCATTCTGCTCGTTTTTAAAAGTATATCCTTTACCAAAAGTGTCCTGCTAATGCAAAAAGAACAAAAAAAGTATTATAATTTATACGTTTCTTGTTGCATTGGATGACTGAGCTGTCCATGGTAGCATTTGCAGACCGCAGATGCCACCAGCAGAGGGAGCCATTGTCCTAACATCATATGTGCATGTGGAAACGTGTAACCTTCCTCAAATGTCCGAGATAAAATGTAGAAGTATTTTTGGAATAACCACGGCTCGTGCATGCGAGATGAGCACGCGCACCTACCTCTTGTTGCTAGGTGGCGTTGCTAAGGCCTGTGCATCTTTTGAATCACTGCATCCGTGCAAAACTTTGGCTGAGACACAAACTCATTTTGTCAAACTTTACTCGACGATTTCTTCAAACAGGAGACATCACTGCAGACCATTTCCACCCAGACTGCTGCTGACCCACTCCTGACCACAACTACAAGACTTTTCTGAGGAAAAAACGTGAGCTTTTCCACTTTACCGGTTCACCTTAGTCCCTATGGGTTTGGCCTGTGTTACTCACACACAGACTGTAGCAAAATATAGCAACAACAGAAAACAAAGATCATTTTGATCCGTGTCTAAAGCAGGTTTACAGAGAGATTAGGCTGAGTATATTCATCATAATAAGTGTAAAACATGAAAAGTCCTCAAGCTACATGAAAGCTGTGCCTTAAATATGTTGAGGTTGAGTCTAAAGTGACAAACCCACATGACAGACAGGTTTGTGCTTCATCTAAACGTCTTCATCAGCCGCAGCAGTGATGTATCTACTGTTGTCTCTGAGAACATTTCAGACAGTTCAATCAAACAAATATTCTGCACATGTAGATTATGATCCATGTGATTTTGAACAAGTCTGTTCTTGAGAAGATGTACTCAGCCTGGCAGACCTGCCGTATTCAGTCCAAATGGTTCTTGAACATCTACAAGCGTGACTTTCAAACCACAAACAAAGAACTCTGCAAATACATTCTTCTAACTGGTCCTCGCTCTTACACACTTTGGTTCTATCACTAGTTTCACACGTCTGTGTTTTTGACTTCACAAAAGTGAATAAGACCATCCTCTTTCAGCCAATCAGCACAAAGCATCAAATAACCACTCACAGAGCACTTTCTATACAAAGATGAAATGTTTACTAATCATTGACTTTGAACAGACTTTATCTGTTGAGACAAACTAAATGTAACATTTATAACAAAAGAAAACACATCTATTTGAAACTTGAAGACATGTCATTCTTCCAAAGACCTGATCCACCTGTATCCACGATCTTTACTCTAATCAACTGATATGAACCATGATGCAACATTGTCCTGGTCCAAAACAGACCTGCAGTGGTTTTTAGATCCATCCACGCTGGTATCCTGAACCTCTGGCACAAACATGTAACCCCGCCCCTTCTGTGTGAAAGCTCCTGTCTCAGTCCTGTAATAGTCTGATGTCATAGTAGCACTGAGACAGCGAGCTCGTGTGATCGGTGATTGACAGTGAGGCAGAGCAGATATTGGATCAATACATTTTTAATTGGTTTAAACATTTCCCAAAACACGATTCATGGCCACAAATAATGCATCATGTTTCATCTTTATCTCACGTCAACTTCAAATGAAGCAGCATCAGTGATGTCACATGTTCCTCCTCCACAGACCCTGTGCTCCTCCTCTATCAGGCCTCCACACCTCCTGCTGAGGAATCCATCAGGCCTCCTCACCTCCTGCTGAGGACTCCATCAGGCCTCCACACCTCCTGCTGAGGACTCCATCAGGTCTCCACACCTCCTGCGGAGGACTCCATCAGGCCTCCTCACCTCCTGCTGAGGACTCCATCAGGCCTCCACACCTCCTGCTGAGGACTCCATCAGGTCTCCTCACCTCCTGCTGAGGACTCCATCAGGCCTCCACACCTCCTGCTGAGGACTCCATCAGGTCTCCTCACCTCCTGCTGAGGACTCCATCAGGCCTCCTCACCTCCTGCTGAGGACTCCATCAGGCCTCCTCACCTCCTGCTGAGGACTCCATCAGGCCTCCACACCTCCTGCTGAGGACTCCATCAGGCCTCCACACCTCCTGCTGAGGACTCTGCTTTTAAGCTAAGTCTCTCGCTCACACGATGCCTGGCAGCTCTGCCAAGTTTCCTCGTTCTGGGAGGATCTCTCTCTACTCTTCTTCTTCTCTCCTCCCTCGCCCTTCTGCTCCTCCTCCTCCTACGCCTTCCTCTGTACCTCCTGCTGCTCCGCGTCCTTCTGCTCCTCCTGCTAAGCGCTCTAAGCTTTCCTCTGCCTCTTCTCGTAAGCAACGTAAGCTTACCTCTGTTCCTCTCGCTTGGCGCTCCTCTGCTCCTCCTGCTTGGCGCTTCTCTGCTCCTCCTACTTGGCGCTTAGCTGGTCCTCCAGCTAAGTCTTCCTCTGCTCCTCTTGCTCCTCCTGCTAAGCGCCCTAAGCTTTCCTCTGCTCCTTCTGCTCCCCGCCCCTATGCTCCTCCTGCTAAGCTTTTCTCTGCTCCTTCTACTTGGCGCCCTTCTGCTCCTCCTGCCAAGTCTTCCTCTGTTCCTCCTGCCTCCTGCTCCTCTGCTCCTCCTGCTCAGCCCTCTGCTCCTCTTCCTCCCCCTGAGTCTCCTCCTCACTTTCGTAAGTGCAAACGAAAGTCTTCTCCTCCTCGTGCTCCTCCTGCTGACGCTGCTAGCCTGTTACGCGTTAAACTAGCCCCTGTTGTTTCGCAGCCGGAGCCTGCCCCGCTGTTCCCTGGACCGGTCCCGGACTGGGTGGTGGAGATGGAGGCGTACCTGAAGGAGCGGGAGCTGCCCTGGAAGGAGCAGAGAAGGTCATGTGAGCCGCAGAGGCCTATTCCACTGATAACACACAAGTACTCCTTCTATTTTTAAGAACTGATCCTTTCTGTCTTTTGTTTCTTTGGAGGAGCAGAAGCAGAGCTGGGATCCCCAGGAGCTGTGTCTCGGTGAAGGGTTAAGTATCACTTTGTAAATGGTTTGTATATTTTTGGATCCTTGTTTGATCCCCTTTGAAAAAAACAAAAAAAACAAAAAAATATTTTAACACGTTCAGTTTGTTGTTGTTGCCGTTGCACATGTTTTGGATCCACGTTTGGTCCCCTTTGAAAAAACCCAAAAATTATATATTTTTTTATGTTCAGTTTGTTGTTGCCGTTGCACATGTTTTGGATCCTTGTTTGATCCCCTTTGAAAAAGTGTTTTTCTAAGATTGTGTGTGGATTGTTGTGTGGTGCATAGCTTCTGTTGCAGGTGTCTTTGCTGTTCAGGGAAACAAGGTGAGTTTTGATGAATGACTTACTTTACTTTAAGGAATCACTCGTTTATTTATTGTTTCTTTTAGTTTTTTTAGACAGAAAGGAGGAAGTGTAAAACATTGAAAATTGCTCAAAGAATATACAGCACAGGTACAGAGGTCTATTGTATCTGCACATGGAGTCCAGGGAATGAATTGATCGTGTTTTGTTTCCGTGAAGTCAGAGAGTCGAGAGGAGGGAGGAGGAGGAGGAGGAGGAGGAGGAGGAGGAGGCTAATATCCTTGTTTTCATTTCAAACACAGGTAAATCATCATATGCACTGTTTCCTTTGTCTCTGCTCCCACTTCATAACAAGAGAACCATCTTTCACTTCTTCCTAACTGCCAATGTGTTGAATACAAACCACTTTTATGCAGACCACTGTCACTCAAACCCCAGGGTTCGCCCACAACTTGTTATGTCTGAATGAGGGGAAAGCAAAGGTGATTGTGTTTGGCAACCAGCAGGTGGCAGCAGCTGTCAATGGAATCCACGCTAAAACAAATCATGAACTGTATCAGCTAAAGGCTTGCAGGAAGACAGTCAGAGGTTTGCAGCCACAGCAAACTTCTCAAGTCCCTCTCAGCCGTTTTAAAGGTTCATGTTTTTATCTTTTATTTCTATCTGTATGTTACCCCAGAGCTCTTTATCAGTTCCCATTTGCCCTTACCTGCAATAGGTCCTGCATGCCCTGAACATGATCACCTGGAGAGGCTGGAACCATGTGTCTCTGTCAAACTAAAGCCCATGATGTAAAGGATGAGGTAATGTGTTTTTCTTTTTTAAGTGCATGCAATGTATTTAGCCCTTTTACCAATATATACCATCCTTCCATAGATGGAATGAGGGGAGGAAATCAAGCTGGGTCCACTTTGGGAGAGTGTCCTTCCTCTCCTCACACTCCTCATGTCCAAATACATGTGAAAGTCAGGTCATCTCTAGGGCCAATCAATCTCTAGTGTTGTGCAGAAAAGATGTCTAACCTGCATTATCTCTTTGTAGCTCGAATCGACATGAACTTAACAATCTAAAGCCACAAATGTGGCAAAGATGTACTATGCTATGCAAAAGATTTCAAAAGGTAAGTTCACAATTGTTTATCAAATTTGGAATTAAATTGTAAAATGAGGGACTTTTTAGGAAGATATAAAATATCTGGTCTTATGGAATTGAAAGTGAAAGTGAACGTGGAGCAACTCTAGTGGAGCAACACTCGCAGTCCCAGATGGAGACACTCCAACGATAAAGGAGAGAAGCCTTTACCAGAGAGCAGGTGTCTTATGTGGAACAAACATGTTAATTCAGCTGATATAGTTGTGCCAAATGCTGTGGAATGCACTGAATGAACTATTTTCTCTCAACAGAGGCACTCAACAAAACCCTGGCAACAAAGTCCACTCCCTCCAGAAGACCAGAGGCTGAAGCTGTCTTCAGAAAGTGAAAGAACATCTGAGTAGGATCAATGTACGCAAAAGGCCGTATGCAGACTAAAGACAAGGTGTGTACTGAAAGGTTGTGCTGATGAACTCTCTGAAGTCTTCACATTGACATGTTTAACTCATCTCTGCAGCTGTGCTCCCAAAGCACCTCAAAGACACCATCATCATTCCAGCACCAAAGAAGTCCCCACCCTCCAGCTTCAAGGACTCTGCTGCTATCTGCATCAGTATTGCTGATGTCACAGCAGTGGGGGACTCCTCAGCCACAGAGACAAGGCAAACTGCAGGAGTGAGGAGTCTGTCCATGTGCTGCACATAGAACCATCTTTCTCTAAATGTGGACAAGACAAAAGACCTTGTTTTGGACTTTCAAAGAGTGCAGCTCCACCATGCTCCTGTAACCATCAACAGTTTCCTGTGGAGAGGGGGACCAGCACTAAGTTCCTGATGTGCACACACACGACCTCTCCTGGACCATGCACACTACATCACTGGTCCACAAAAGTCATCCGCCTCTGGGCTTTCGGCGCAAGTTGAGAAGGGTCAGAGTCCCAGTCTCGGTTATTTGCAACTTGTAGAGAGAGACTGGAGAGCATCCTGAGCAGCTCCATCACTGTGTAGCACGGTGCCAGCTCTGCCACCTGCTGCAGGAGCCTCCAGCGCTTTGTGAGAGAAACTGAGAAGATCTGTGGAGCCTCTCTCCTGCATTAGAACACTCCTGTCTCACTCCCAAAGCCCTGAGAATGACCTGGGATCCTACGCACCCACAACAGCCCCTCCAAGTAATGCCTTCAGGAGGAGACTGGGAAATCCACGGGACAGGTCCAGTCGACTGAAGAAGCCTTTTATCCACCAGGCCATCAGGAAGCTGAACTCTCTTCTTTACTTGCCCTCCCTGTGCTCCCACCCCTCACTCCTCACCCCCACTCTATCATCAAGGATGACAAACTTGACAATAAATCTTTGAGTCTCTTAATACTTATATGTTTGTCTTCATATCAGTGTTTAGGTCAGTGTTTTAGATCAGAAAACATCCATATTTGAACAGAAAATAACATTGAGCCTACATTATCCCACCCTAATCATAAAACACACTTTTACCTTCCAACATTAGAGAAAAGAGCGGAAAAGCCTTTGTCATTGTCAATATAACATACATCAGAGTCTGTAAAACTGTCAGTTGCCATTTATTTGGGTCTATGCATGAACCTGCTCTCGTTTGGGAAGCTGTAAAAATAACATGAGCTTGAAAATCTAAAGAGATTTCAAACACACGAAGGAGAGGTTACAGGCCATAATCAAGAAGCTTTTGAGTCCCTTGTTCACAGAAGAACCTTGTTTTTATATATTTTAATAAACCATAAATGTTGTATTTTTGAACTGTATATAGTTATTATAAAGTACAAGCAGCTTCTTTCATCTTTATCTGTATTTCAACCATGTCTCAGGTGCTTTCTTCTCTCTGTGTAAACAAGTCAGAGTTTTACTGTAGGTACATTATTTTACATTTAGATTAAGACAAATTGGAAAAGGGTCAATAATGGTGAAGATAAATCCTTGTTTTATGTTTAACCTTAGTACTTCTCTTCTGATAAGTGGAACTATCAACATGAACTATTTCTAAACAATAGGAAAGAACAAATTATTTAAAACAAGAATAGACCAGACACATCCTAATCAAATGTTTATTAAAGTTAGTTTAAAAAACACACAGGTTTTCATGGACATACAAGTCACGTCCTCTGGATACATATATGGGGGTTTAATTGTTTCATTGTCATAATTCTATGGTATTTGAAAGGGCAAATCCGATCTCATTAATGAAGTTATATATATTATTTGTGCTACTATTATTATTGCTATACTATTCTATTATAATTAGTATATTTTTATTATTATTGTATAATAATATGATGTGTCTATATTAGTGCATTTATGTGGTTGTTATGGTATTGTTATGAATGTCATTATTATTTATAATTATCAAAATTGTTATTTCTCTTATAGGCATCATTACATCACGACCCATAATTTATTACTGGAAACGAGATAAATGAATCCTGGTTATTGTTTTGGTTCTGACGGTAGCCAGAGAATATAATTTGAGCATGTTCACAGAACTCAAAGTACAGGGAAGGCAGGGGGGCTCTGCTGCTGGAGGAACCCTCTGGCAAAAGACCCCACTGTCTCCTTTTAATGCACAGAATAGGACACGCCCAGATCTGCTGTTCACAGACTGCTCCCTCTGGAGGCAGATCTGTGGACGCAGAGACTCCCTTTGCAAATAACACACATTCAAAATAAAAGCTTGCTCCCATCAGCACCAATGATCAAATTTAACTCACAAATATCACTAGTAATTATTATATTTAATATTAAATATACAATATTTTATAATTTTATAATAGTTTGTGAAAATGGGTATGTTTACCTCTGGGTACTTGGACATTGGCTGCGGGGTACCACAGGGATCGGTTTTAGGTCCAACATTATTCAATTTGTACATCAATTATATATTTAGTCTCTTCAAGTTACTGAAACTAGTTATATTTGCAGATGACACCAATGTTTTTTTATTCAAATGACAGTTATGTTAATTTAGTGTATATACCATTAACATGGAATTAGCCAAATTAAAGACATGGATGGACTTTAACAAATTATCCATAAACTTAAACAAAACAAAGATTATGTTTTTCAGTAAATACAAAAGCAACCAAGGCCCGGTTATACAAATACATGAAATTGATGAAATTCTTAGGAGTTACTATTGACAACACATTAAACTGGAAACGACACATAAAACACATACAAGGCAAAGTCTCCAAAAGCATCTCGATCATTAATAAATCAAAATTCTTCCTAAATCATAAAGCATTACATTTATTATATTGCTCACTAGTTTTTCCATATTTAACATTCTGTGTAGAGGTTTGGGGCAATAACTACAAATGCTCAATTCATCCCCTGGTTGTACTTCAGAAACGCGCCATAAGAACAATTCATAAGGCAGGATATCTAGATCACACTCATACTTTATTTCTGCAGTCTAAAATAATCAAACTCACTGATCTAGTAGATTTTTATACAGCTCAACTTTTATTTAAAGCTAACAAAATGGTTTTGCCTTCAAATATCCAGAAACACTTTACTCACAGAGAAGGGTGTTATAATCTGAGGGGGTGTGGGAACTTTAAAATACATGCAGTGAGAGCCACCAGGAATAGTTTGTGTGTATCTCTGTGTGTGTCTGTGTGTGTATCTCTGTGTGTGTCTGTGTGTGTCTGTGTGTATCTGTGTGTCTCTGTGTGTGTCTGTGTGTATCTGTGTGTCTCTGTGTGTGTCTGTGTGTATCTGTGTGTCTCTGTGTGTGTGTGTCAGTGTGTGTCTGTGTATCTCTGTGTGTGTGTCAGTGTGTGTCTGTGTGTGTCTGTGTGTGTCTGTGTGTGGAGTGAAACTTTGGAACAAATTGTGTGTCGAACTCAAGCAATGTCCAACTATCCATCTGTTCAAATCAGCATATAAAAAAATGGTATTTTCATCATACAGGAATGTGAGAACGGGGGTTTAAATTGTTATAATTCTAAAGCACTTGAAAGGGAAAATCTGATCTCATCGACAAAATCATATTATATGTGCTATTACCATTATTACTATACTTCTCTATTATAATTATTATATAACTATATATATTATATGTGCTATTATTACTATACTGTCCTATACTGTTACTATACTCTTTTAAGATTATTTTTATTGTATGATATTGTCTAATAATAATGATAATATGATGTGTCTATACTAGGGCCTTCCATCCATCCATCCATTTTCTTCCGCTTTATCCGTTGCCGGGTCGCGGGGGCAGCAGTCTAAGCAGAGACGCCCAGACTTCCCTATCCACACACACTTCCTCCAGCTCGTCCGGGGGGACCCCAAGGCGTTCCAAGGCCAGCTGGGAGACCCTAACCCTCCAGCGTGTCCTAGGTCTTCCCCGGGGCCTCCTCCCGGTGGGACGTGCCCGGAGCAGAAGGTGGGGAGGCATCCGGAACAGATGCCCGAGCCACCTCAACTGGTTCCTCTCGACGTGGAGAAGCAGCGGCTCTACTCCGAGCTCCTCTCGTGTGACTGAGCTCCTCACCCTATCTCTAAGGAAGCGCCCAGCCCCCCGCGGAGGAAGCTAATTTCGACCGCTTGTATCTGCGATCTCGTTCTTTCGGTCATTACCCAAAGTTCATGACCATAGGTGAGGGAGGGAACGAAGATTGACCGGTAAATCGAGAGCTTTGCCTTTTGGCTTAGCTCCCTCTTCACCACAACTGTCCGATACAGCGACCGCATCACTGCGCACGCTGCACCGATCCGCCTGTCAATCTCACGCTCCATTCTTCCCTCACTTGTGAACAAGACCCCGAGATACAGGAACTCCTCCACTTGAGGAAGGACCCCTCCACCCACCTGTAGAGGGCAAGGCACCTTTTTCCGGTCGAGCACCATGGCCTTGGATTTGGAGGTGCTGATTCTCATCCCAGCCGCTTCACACTCGGCTGCAAACCGTCCCAGTGCATGCTGCAGGTCCTGGTTCGTTGGAGCCAACAGGACAACAGTATAGAGCTGGTCCAGTGTTCCGTGATCGGGACAAAAACCACACTGCTCCTCCTGAATCCGAGATTCGACCATCGGCCGTAGCCTCCTCTCCAGTACCTTGGAGTAGACCTTACCGGGGAGGCTGAGGAGTGTGATCCCACGATAATTGGAACACACCCTCCTGTCCTCCTTCTTGTAGAGAGAGACCACCACCCCGGTCTGCCACTCCATTGGCACCGCCCTCCCATTGACACCGCCCCCGATCGCCACGCGATGTTGCAGAGACGTGTCAGCCAAGACAGTCCTACAACATCCAGAGACTTTAGATAATCAGGACGGATCTCATCCACACCTGGAGCCTTGCACCATGGAGGGTGCCAACCACCTTGGTGACCTCAG